ATTATGTCCTGAGAGGTATATCTGATTTCATAAAACGGAGTAAGCCGATACGTGCTCGGTATGAGACAAGGCGGTGTATTTTGTGACGTGCATTCGGAAGATGTATATCGTATGCTGTACAGCATAGGGAAGGGATCTTAAACTTTATTGTAAAATTACAGTCCCTTGTTAACTCTGCTAGCCACCCACCTGAGCCTGTTTGTATCTCAGTTCTGCACCTTGTCTTCTACAGAGGCTGTAGCTATGTGGATTTGTTCTCTAGGTGCTATTGGGTAATTCTTCAGATAATCACTGGATGGAAGACCACATAAAAATCTATCGTGCACCATTTGATTACCCAGGATGCAGCATTTGTCTCAGTAATGGTCTGCTAGTGTTTTAAAGGTATTAGTCCTTGCTGATGTGATCTTTTTTTTTAACAAATTAGCTAAAAACTTACTTTTCTTCAAAAAAAACAAAGCAGGACGTTGGATCAGTGTTGATCAGCCATTCAGTATAACTTCATGTTCAGAGGGAAACGAAGGAGAGCAATATGGTGAGGACTGTTTTCTCTATGAGGAATAGTGTCCTCAAGAAATTTTGGATTGTATTTTTTTCATTCTCATTAAAAAAAAAACCCAAAAAAACCCCAACAAAACCTCCACTTCTTCAGAGATGAGAGCTTTTTTATGGTGTTGGAATCTAATCCTCTTATTCCAGTTCTGTCCATGTAGCATTTTAGTTTGGTTTTACAGTTCCTTGTTCTGGTCAGGTGTCCCAAAGTACAGTGTTTTACTGATGCTTATTATGGGTTTTGTCTTTCAGCATGATGCGTTATTCTTTATTAGTGGTTTGTTGGTGGTGGGTTTTTTTAACACCTTCATTTGAAGCTGTTCTTCTACCGGAGCTGATTGCTGAGAAAGGATTGTGCTGAAGGCTTGGAATTACATGCATGACAGGATAACAAGAGTCAGCTGCCTTCCTAGAAGGTAGTTGAGGCAAGACCTACAGCGACTGAATCACCTAAAAACCACCATCTCCTTTCTCCGAAGAAGCATGTTGCTTTTATTGTCTAGAAGTGTACCGTCTGCAGGCTTGCAGTCTGTGATTGCAGCTGCTCTCTAGTTATGTGTTGAGAATACAGGATTGTTGAAGATGCTGTTGGAGAAGAATGTGCTAATAAAGGGATGCCAGATACCTTAGTTTTGCTAAGTATGGAAGGATTGTGTTCAGTTTGCATTGTAAGGATTCCTGTGAGTTGTATTGATCCTCTGAGAGGATCAGTATATTACTGTTTGCCTTCCTGTAGTAATGTGGGTTAGTCTGGATTAACATTAATAACAGAAGTTCTGCCTGACACTTTTACCATCTGCTTCACAGTCTAACAAAGCCTTAAGCAAACTCAAACGTAACAAAAAGAAGGCTTTACTTTTTTTACAGCTGCAGAATGGTGTGTACATCCAGAAAATGGAGGTGTGCTCTCATCGTAGCTAAAGGCGGCGCCTATATTTATACACACCTTGTGTGCTAAATGCTTGTGGTGGTTTTTAAGACTAAGGCTGCTTGTATTTTGATGAAAAGCACTTGCATTGAGTTGTAGCTTGAGAAAGAGTCTTGCTTGTATTTTGACGAAAAGCACTTGCATTGAGTTGTAGCTTGAGAAAGAGTCTTGAAACTTGAGAACTGGGAAAAAGAGGGAGGAAGGAAGGGGAAATACTTTCTGAACATTGGGAATGTCCAGAAGGCTACATTTGAGTGTATCAGGGTGGTGATGATTTCCTGCTTGGAGGTTAAGATGTTTTGATGAAAAATCTGTATTATGGTGAGGATTTTAACAAAATCTATTGACTTGAAAATAAATTTAATAACACTTTGATGAAACTGGCATTAAATTATGAGAATTTACGTGTGTTTATGTTGATGAGAATCATCATCATAGCTGGAAGGAGCATCTTACTATGTGAAATATTAGAGAAGGAAGGGAAGAAAGGGAAGTGGAAGTTTGGAAAAGTGTTGAGTATTGGTAAAGGTATATTTCTCTAAATTCTCCTTTAGAATAGTTATATGCTACATAAATCATAATGCTAGCTGGAGAATGTCCTCTCCTGCTGATGTCAGACTTGGGTATCTTACATACACAGCATCAGATTTTGTATAGTTTTCCTCTTCATGGTCCTCTATAATGTCCTCCAGTCTTTCTACCACACACTAGTGTAGGGTATCACTGCTGCCTGTTTCTCGCTTGGTACAAGTTCATAGCTGTTCAGCTGCATCAGGTGTCCATGGCAGCTCTGTACTCCACAAACCCACCTTTTCAGCGTCACAGCTTGTTCTGTGTCTCCTCCCCATCATACAGGAATCATTTGTGTTTCAGTATTTGGTGTGCCAGCAAATGCTGGCGAAGTAGGAACCCAACACAGTTTCGGTGGGATTTTTATTGTATCCAAGCAATGACCATTCTTTGTAGTATACTCCCAAGTTCTGCTTGGGGTCTGATGCAGTGAGTATGGTGCCATCCCTGATCGTTTCCCTGGAGAGAATTCTAATTCAGCACTTTGTGATATGCATGAAATCATCTATTACTGTTTGCGATACATTTATAACTCTCAACTTGCCTTTGCCTCGTGTGGCGTAGGATTGCATGCTCCTTGTAGCTTGGGGATGCTTCATATATAGCAGGGAATAAAACCAACTCCCCCAGGGCAAAGGCAAGCTTTTGTCCTACCTTGATCACTCAGGTTCAGGAAACTGCTTGGTCACATTTGTAGCTTTGTAGGAGATTAATTATTAAATTCTGGCTGAATTTAATTTGTGTCTCCTTGCTTTGCAAAGGAGGTTAATTTCATGTAAAAATAACATTTTCATAATTTATTCTGTTATTCTTTTAGTTTTGAGAACTAACCTAATCATTACAGTGTGAATTTTCTTACTGCCTCTTCCACAAGATCTGCTTGCCCTTTCAGCTAGCTAAACATGTATCTTAGACTTCCTTTCTAGTTAGGAGAATTGGAAATGGCAAGAGAATTGAATCCCTGGTCCTAAAGCAAGGTTTTCACAATCACCTCTATTAGCAAATCTGATTTAATTTGTTGTTGTTAGCCTTTTATTAATGGAAGCATAAGTAATGCTTCTTTACATCTGCCTTAAGAGGCAGCAGCTTTGGGAAGAGATTTACAGGACTTAGCTATGATGGATAGATGAGGGAGAATTTAATATGGCATAGACTGGGGGAAAAAAAAACAGTATTAAGAAAGATGGCAGCCAGGTTAGCATGAGTAAATGGTGTTGGCATTTTTGAGGAGTTGTCTCCTCCTGCATTTGCATTCTCTTCTTTTACTTTTTTTTTAAAAAAGTAATCTTTTTATAGAATTTTACAGAATCTTGAAAATTTTAGATTGTGTTTTGTCTTAATGGGATTTTTGTATTATTTTCTTTCATGTTGTCTTTCACCACTAAGGAAATGTCAAAATAAACACTGCATTATATAGCAGGCATGAAGGAGACCTCTGAAGCAATAGATGGCTGAGGCACACCTGTGGGTCTGAGTATAATGCCAGGTGTCACACTGCTTCTGCTAGATATCAGACTTTACAGATTTAAAGGGAAAAAGCATGTTTTACGTGTGTATAAATCTAATTGTCTGTTGTTGGTGAGAGCCGGGGCTGGTGAACTTGGCGTTTGTAGCATTTGGAAGGAGTTTACAGGTAGGCCCTTTGAAGATATTTTTTTTTTTTTTTATTGATAAGTTCGAAACTTCTGGTGACAAATACCAAGACGCTGAGCTTTCAATTTAAAAAAAAGTAAATAAACAAACAAGAAAAGCCAGCACAAAAGAACCTCACCTGCCTAACCATCCCAGTGTCCGTTTAGTGAAATGAGTTCTAGTGCCTGTCTGAACTGAGAGAAGTCTTGGTCAGCTTGGGCCTATGATTAGAGATTATTGTGGTTTGCCATATGCTGTTGGCCAAATAATTTTGTTCTTAGTCAAGCAAGTGTGAGCAATCAATCACTCTCTACATCATTGTCTATATTAACCTGATTGTAAATGTTCCCTTTGTAGCAATTACTGTTGCAGAAGCAGTTTGTGTTGGATGGGCAAATGGTGGCCATGCTATATTTAGGCAGCCATCCAGCAGAAAATTATGCTTGGGATCTGTAAATATACTGCTTTTTTTTCAGGAATGCAAAAAAAGCCAAGATACTACAAAATTGATGACATTTGAAAGCTTAAAAACCTGAAACTTTCTTGATCACTTGTGAAGAGGGAAGAATTCTCAGTACTCTTCTTGCTCTTATTCAGATCACTGGAAGAAGTATGGTTGGGGATGTGTCTGTGCAAGCTGTCTATGAAGGAACTTGCTAGTGATGACAAATTAGTAGAAGACATTTTCTTTATACAGTATTTTCAACTTTTCATGACTGAGGGCTGTTCTGCGAGATACCTGAAGTAGATAAAAAAATTTTAAAATTAATCTTTGCTTGGCTTTCTTTTACTTTTTAGCTGTATTAACAGCTAAAAACATATTTTAGGTTTGGTTTAGACATGTGTGAGAGATTGGTAATCAATGGTATGTATATTTAAAAATAACTGGCAACTTAATGAAAGTGCTGTGAACTTTGTATCTAATAATCTGGTTTTGTTTTCTTAGATTTTCCTCTGATAGTTCATAAACTGAAATAACCTTCAAGTTAAATGTGTGTCAAAGCTGCTTATTTTTTTCCTCTTTGTTCTACTGAAGTTTCTCAGGAGCCTATACACAAAACAGAACAACAATTTGACTGGTACATTCATATATAACCAATGGAAATGCAAAGTCACTAATGTGCAAATTTGACCTACAGATGAGTGATAAAAAAAAATAGTGACATGCAGCATTGGGAAACCTAAGTGAAGTAAAATATGCATATTATGGAAAGGTCTTAATTACTTTTTCAGAAATTTTACATGCTGTAGTGTTACAAACATTAGAATACTTCGCTTATTGCAGAATTTATTTATTCCTCTCTTTCCTCTGTCACAGGTACTCATTACACAATGACGAATGGAGGAAGTATCAACAGTTCAACACATTTACTGGATCTTCTGGATGAACCAATTCCTGGAGTAGGAACGTATGATGACTTCCATACCATTGACTGGGTTCGAGAGAAGTGCAAAGACAGAGAAAGGCATAGACGGGTACTTGAGATAAATAACAATACTTAGAAAATATTTTTTGTTGGATGTTGGAATTAAAGTCTGATCTAGTAATACATACAATTATGTGCGTACTTTAAATTTGGGAGTGGTTATCAACTAGGACTGCTCGAATCCTATAAAAAAAAAAGCACCGTTTCATTGGTACCTGCAGTCCTGCGACAGTATTAAAACTTGGAAAGGAAGCAGAGTGGGTATAGTTTCCCCTCACCCAATTGCCATTTTGACAGCACTACGTTTTTTGCATGCGAGTGTATTTAAGGCTGTTTTCCAGTGTGGATGCATTTGTACTAGTACAATAGTGTTTATGGTGGTACTCGTACAGAAAAGTGAGTGCTGATGTCTATTGCTTTTATACTGGTGCAAGTATATCTGTGCTACTGCGATCCAGCGCTGCAGTGGTTTGGATTACGGAAAATGAAAATTCTCATATCTAAACCACTTACATCAGTGTATATATGCTTAACAAAAAAGGAGGCTCAATATGTATGGTAAATGTCCTTTCTACTCTCCCAGCACAGAGCTTGATTTTCTTCTCTGTTAGTTTCTTCAAAAGATCTTCAAAGTTCAGGCCATTCATCTTTATCAGTGTGCTCTGCAACGATTCTTTCATGAAATGGACTCAAGTTGTGTTGGACAGTAAAATGCTAGATACTGTCATTCATGTAATAGGCTTGTTTACTAGCATTTTAGGAGGATATATGCTATTTAGAGGCTTACTGCCAAACTTTTGGGATGCTTACATTAATTAACCTTAAAAACAGAGCCGATTTGGAGATGAGATTTCTCTTAAAATATTTCTAACTGGTCAAAATGGGTAGTTAAAAAGAATTGTAATTGTATGGGAGGGGTCAGGGGAGAGGTTCCTTTACATACGACCCTGTAGTGTTATTCTGCTGTTGAGATTTAGGCCGCTCCGGCAGCCAAACTCCATGCAGCCGCTCGCTCACCCTTCCCCGCCCCCCGGGGATGAGGAAGGGAATGAAAGGAGAAAAGGGAAGGAGACCCGTGGGTTGAGATAAGAACAATTTAATACTGCTGCTGCTAATATATGAACATATATATTTGTACAATGATAAATATATATACAGACAAGTGATGCACAGTGTAATTGCTCACCACCCCTTGACTGAGGCCTGTCTCATCCTGGACTAACGATCCTGAAACATCTAGATAAGTCCCGACACCACAATCCCAGACGAGCGAGAAGCCCGAAAATAGAGCGAGAGAGAGTGCACTCTGAGAGTGAGAGCCCTGGAAGAGCAAAAGCTCTTCTTTCCGGCTGACCCTCACTTTTGTGCTGGGCATGATGCTGCATGATATGGAATACTCCGGTGTCCAGTTTGGCCCTCAGTCCTAAGTCTAAGTACAAATCATAAGGAGAGTCATGGACCCTCTGTCCCGGCCATGCTCCCTCCTGTCCTGTTGTGCTCCTGCACACTGGCAAGAACACGGCAGCTGGAAAGTCCTTGAGACCTCAGTGCCAACTATAAACATCAGTGCGCTATCAACGTTCTTCTCAAAACATATCCCAAACTAACACCAAAACACAGATTTCTTCTGCTGCTAAAAAGAAGAGCTAACTCTGTCCCAGCTGAAACCAGGACATCTGCTTTGTTTGGAAATGCTGTTTTTAACTTTCTGGAAGCAAATGTTGGACCTATATGCTGATTTACTTGGATATGATTAAAAAACCAAGCATAGGCTAGTTTAAAAAACCAAAACGTCTATAATTGCACTGTCTAGTGCTTTTTTATGGAAAAGAGGTCCTTGGACAAAGGATCTGAGAACATATACCTTGTTTGAATGCTTTTAATGAAAAGTAAGAAGGTGTTTTCTATGTAATGCTTTATTTCATCATTTGATGTCTAAGCAGTAATTAACACAACGCCATCTATACACTGCAGATGTGTAGGTTAGTGTGTAGCCGATACGCCATTGGATAGAATTCTGAGCCTGACCAAATCCTGGCAAGGCAGATCACACCTTAGGAATTAGGTTACCTAGGTGAAGTGTCACAGCTGTTACTCATTTTAATGTCTGAGACCAGAAAAGTTGGACAAGACAGTTCTCACTTTATAGTCGCAGAACTACACTGAAATTTATAAATATGCCCTGAATGATAGGAGAGTGTCTGGCCATGTAATCAAAGATGTAGAAAGAAGGAGGAATAAGTACTTGTTCGTGGTGGTTTTGAAAGACATGCTACTGTAGAAACAACTTTTTTTATTGAAAAAGAAAAGTTTGAGAATCTCACAAATGTAGAGGAAACTATAAAATATGTTCATTTGCTTTAGAAATGTTTGGGGTTTTTTTCCTAGATTTCCTTGTCTAGTATTGTGCTTTCTTGGTTTGGGTAGGTTTTTTTGTTTCTGTTTGTTGCACAGACATTCTCCCTCCTTTTACAGTATGAAAAAATCATAAGAATAGGATCTAGTTACATAATGAAGATTTAATCATAAACCAAGTTATGCATGAATTTCAGCTGAGTGCACAAAGTAAAGTAAATAAGGCTAAAATAAGAATTACTGTTTTGTCAGTACAGTAAATTTAGATGTCATTAGTAACAGCTGTCTAGAAGTATTATAGGGTAGTTAATTGTCATGGTTTGATGTGGGGGGGTTCTGGTGGCAGGAGAGGGGATTTGCTCCCTGTGACTTCCTTGGTTTTGGAACTGGGTCAGACCCAGTTCTGGCCACCAGATCGGACTCCCATCCCCCTCGGGGTTGAGCCAATTGGTGCCTCTTCGAATTGCCCTATTTAGGCTGGGATAAAGGAACCAGAAAAGGTGTTTCGCCCAGGAGCGAGGAGAGAAGGGAGGAGGGCACTGCCCCCGCTGCCCGGCTCCGCCCGCTGAGGAGGATGGTGGCGGCGGAGCCGCCTGGGGAACTTGGGGAGAGCCCTGCTCCCTGGATGCCCGCTGGGCCGAGTTCAGCCAGAGAGGACTGAGATCTGAAAGAAACGGCCACACCGGCACCAGGTCAGTGAAGATGGAGCGGGAGGAGGTGTGCAGGAGCTGAGTTTCCCCCTGCAGCCGGTGGCGAGACAGCAGGCGGCCTCCGTGCAGCCAGGATGGACTCGGTGGAGCAGAGACCCACTCGCAGCCCATGAAGAAGCCCACGTCGGAGAAGAGATGCCTGAGCCTGAGGACGGTTATGAAGCATGGGATGCACGACCAGGTAGAGATGCATCTAGAGTCCGTGGGACGACTCATGCCGGAGCAAGTGACAGCAACTCCCTAGGAATCTGAGACTGTGGTAAAGCCCACATTGGAGCAATGCAATGGGGAAGGATTGCATCCTGCGGGTAGGACTCACTCTGGAGAAGTGTGTGGATTTTTCCTTGTGAGTAGGGGATCCACTGGAGCAAGGGAAAAAGGGTGTAAGGACTCCTTCTCCTTTAAGAAAGGAGCAGCAGTAACAACATGGAATGAACTGACCTGCACTCCCCCATTCCCTGTCCCCCTGCGCCGCTGGGGGGGAGGTAGAGCTGGGAAGAAAAGGAGAAGGGGGTGGGGAGGTGTTGTTTTTAAGATCTGGTTTTGTTTCTTTTTATCCTCTCAAGTAACTGGTTTTGTTTCCCTTTGTCCTTATAAGTAACTTTTAATAAATAGTTTTGCTTTAAGAAAGCTGAATCTGTTTTGCCCGGGACCATGGTTGGTGGGTGCTCCCTCTGTTCTTGTCTCGACCCTCAGTCTCTTTATTATGTTTTTCTCCTCTCCACTGGGGAAGGAGTGAGAGAGCGGCTGTGTGGGGTTTAGTTGCTGGATGGGCCTAAACCATGACATTAATCCATTTTTTTTGTTTTATTTTTAGGTGGGTTTTAGACTAGAGATAAAAGAAAGGTATTTATATTTGAAATAGACGTTTAGGAATTTGAATTGTATAGAATCGCTTATTAGTAGTACACTCATAGTTTATTTGAGGTTCAACAAAAAATAATTCAAGATTTAGGAGAGAAATAATTTTACGATTACATGTTTTAGATGTGTATCATAGAAAGTATTCATTTATCCTAATAATGCATTTCCTGGGTTTTAATTCTTTGATTTAAGCAAACGTACTTTCCTCTGTCAGTTGTTTTGATTTCTGAATAATCAAGCTGATTTATCTCTGTAAAACACTAAATACAAGGAGAATGCTTGTGGTTTAAAGAGAGAGTCTGTTTACCTGCAGCTTGCATCTTGCAGTTTGTGTGTCATACTTGCTTTTTTTCCTCCCACTTTTATTACAGAAACACAAGTATACGTAACAATTTCTCTTTACAGATTAACAGCAAGAAGAAAGAATCAGCATGGGAGATGACAAAAAGTTTGTACGATGCGTGGTCAGGATGGCTAGTAGTCACATTAACTGGTTTGGCATCAGGTAAATTAAAAATCAGAGGCTTTGTTTCTTGCATTTGTCAGCAAGTATGGTTAGTGTGCTTTTCATTCGGGTGCTATCCGCCAGCCTGGATACGAGCTGGTTCAGACTATTGCTGTAATTGCCTGAGAGGGAAGGAAAAGGTTGACTATCTCGATTTGCAGCCTGTAGCATTTTGAGGGGAGGGTTTACTGATTAAATGGAAAACAAAATCCTCACTGAATTTAGTGAGAGTTTCTCAGAGTGAAGAGAACTTCACCCACTAAATTATCAGTGTTCTTTAATCCCATGATTGAGATTGGTGTTTTCCCTTTCTGTTACATTTTGCTTTTTTCCTGTAGAATTTCTTGTGAAGGTATATTAATTGATTGTGTCTTCTATGAATTTGTTGGGTTTTTTTGTTTTGTTTTGTTTTTGGGGGAGGGGGCTAGTAATTTTACCAAACCCATTAGCTTATTCCATATAAACCAAAAAGTAGCTCTGGTATATGTATAGTTTGGATAAACACACTTCCTTGTAAAGCATGTGTTTATACATGAGCAAAGTCTAGCTGTATGTTTCTGTCATACCTTTCTAGAGGTTGTTACACAGAAAATACTGTCTTTAACAGGGAGAGTTTGTTGGCCTCTACTTCAACTCTGTCTTTTCTTCCTAATGTATTTTAAGATGAGTTTTACAGCTAAAATTGTCTAATAGTTCATGGCCCCGCTGTCATGAAGCACTGCTTTCTATCAGCATAGCTTGGAGTGAGCAAAATGTGCAGGAGTGAGAAGTCACAAACTTGGTGCTCAGGTTTTCCAAAACAGTATTTCCAACAGAGATCTTAGATTAAATGCTAGGAAAATTGGATTAGTTGCAGAGTATGGCAATGCCAGTTAAAAAGGCATGGTAACTGTATGATTACTACTTACATATATACATAATCACTTTCACAAATCACATATAAATTAATATATATGCAAAGTTTGTAGCATGTTTATATACCTCTGTATGTACAAACTGGGAGTTTGTAATTATTGGAAATTGGTTGTGATAATTTGAGTGGGAACATGCAGTGTTGTGTTTCCACCCCCTAAGCTGCTACGTATATTAAAATTGCTTTACTGTGTTTCTGAGCAACAAAGCGAGCAAATTCTGGCCGCCAACGTTCCTAGGTTTTTCAGTTTTGGTTGCTTTCTATTGTATGTGTCTAGTGAATCTCAAATGGCACAACCTTGATTTCAGTCATGGGGAGATCTCACGTATTTTAATTAGTTTGGTTCAAATTTTGTTCTACTGAAATACTGCTTTTGGCTTTTACTTTGATTGGCCCAGGATCTCAAACTGAGGGTCTGTCAAGATTAGTAAATATAAGTCAGGAAATGGGAAGTAATTCTCTGCTACCAACTTAAACAAGTAGATTGTGGCTGTCTCTAGACAGCTATTTCTAGTAGTGATTAATACCTTAAAAATAGTAAATTCTAACTAATTAACAGTGGTACATGTTCACAAAAATATTGACTCTAGAAGTAGTGTTTTCACTATACTACTACAATGAAAAACTATTTGGCTTTTGTAAAATAAAGGGATTTTTCTTTTTATTTTTAAATCCTTTGAAGTGATTTCCGAAGTAAAGCCTATTTTTTGAGGACTCTGCAGCAAGTTTTCTGCATGTAGTTACAACACAGAATCCCTCTTAAGTTTCGAGTTTGTGAACTGCTTAGTATCTATACTGTTACCTGCAGTAGGAATTTTACATGCTCACCATGTTACAGAATTAAGTCATTTGGTATATGGATTGCATGAATGTCATCAGAGTTTATGTGGTGCATTTTTATTTGGTGTTTTATTTATGTTGTTCTAAAACTGTTGTTGACAAGGTAGGAATTATTTTCTTCATATATGCTGTTCTGTACAAAACATAGTAGACTAGCACATGAGTTCTTTGAGGCAGGACAAGGTAGTTTTGTCAGGTGGTCTGTTGTCTTTTTCATCAAAAAACGTATCAGTCCTCTTTTGACTCTTAACTCCTTAGTTTCAGTGGACTGTTGGAGAACTGCGGCATAGAGGGGGGGAAAAAAAAAGTATTTAATTTGAGAACTATATAAGGTACTAGATTCTTCAGCAATTACTAATCTTACCATATTGCAAACAGGCTGTAGTTCTGGAAACCAGTAATATTTTATATGTCTGTTTCTTTAAGTTTTCTGTAATTTCAGTTTACAGCAATGAATACCAGCACATTTCTTCATTTAGCTGTATATCCTATTATTTACCAGAATATTAATACCAAACTGTTTCTACAACAGGGGCATTGGCAGGATTAATTGACATTGCTGCTGACTGGATGACTGACTTAAAGGAAGGCATTTGCCTTAGTGCGTTGTGGTTCAACCATGAGCAGTGTTGTTGGGGTTCAAACGAGACCACGTTTGAAGAGAGAGATAAATGTCCGCAGTGGAAGACGTGGGCAGAGCTAATAATTGGGCAAGCAGAAGTAAGTATATACCCATTCTTTTGTGGTCTTGCTCAACAGCTTGACTGAACATGGAAGGAACATAAAGGCCTTAAGGTTAAGGCACTAAACATGGATTTGGGTTGTACTGTCTGCTCCGTTTTTCAGCATTTGGATTGATTAATACTGTAACAAATGTGCATTTCATGCACTGCAAGAGGACTTGGACTGTTGCAGGTGTAAGGAAGTTATGAGAGTATAGAATTGTTAATAACATGAGAATTTCTATTCTTGATCATAGCTGTACATAAAAAAATAAAACCGAAACTTGTGATGTTCTCCAATAACTAAGAATAGATTAGTTTTATTTCCTTTACCACAAAACTTTTTAAATACGATTTACTCAGTATTTGGTAGATTTTAGCAGCTAACAACTATTAAAAAAAACCCCTATGCTATGTTTATTTTTTCTTTTTATTATGAAGCATTAGAACATTTTCTACTTTGTATAACTCAGTCTTTGCTCATGTGCAGGTGTCATGACTTTATACTTTTCAAATAAGACCTCACTCTTTCTTGGCTTCATAATAGTTACCGTCCCTCCAAATGTGTGATAAGTGTACTCGCAGCAAGAGTACTTCTGGGTTATTTTAAGTAGTGATTTTGATCTTACATCAAATGTATATTCTGACATTTGGTTTTGGTTTTGTTTTTACTTTTAGGGTCCCGGTTCATACATAATGAACTACATAATGTACATTTTCTGGGCATTGAGCTTTGCTTTCTTAGCAGTTTCGCTGGTGAAGGTGTTTGCTCCCTATGCCTGTGGCTCGGGGATACCTGAGGTGAGGTCTAGTTAATATGTATGTTATACATGTTTCATATTAATGTGAAAATTTCTGCTGCCTTACAGGGTCAGGGGGAAGGCAAGAGGGAGCCCCCTGTGTCTTCGATGAAGTGCATTAATACGAGTATTCAAATTGAAATAATATAATTGTGCTCGTTGTTGCTGAGAGAAATACCTCAAATTTCAGAAAGTCTCCTGAGTTTGTAGGTTTTGCTGCATGCTTCTGGCCGGACTACTTTTTAAGGAAGCGTTGAGCTTAGGAGAGTAGATTTCAGAAGAGTGATTTCCCAGCCTCCCCTCCGCAATCCTCACCCTCCCTGTGGTGACAAGAGAGCAGTGGTTCCTCGGCAGAATAGGGATCCTTTGATAGAGCAATTGATCTTTTGTATCGTTTGTTCCACTGGCTTTAATTGTCTCAACTAGAATGAACCATCAGGCCGCCACAAAGTAAAGAGTGTAATATCCTCAAAAAGTCATTCTTTTTATAATTGTTATCTGCTACTATAGGCAGAATGGGAGGGAAAAACCCAAAGTCAAAGTCTGGTCAGTCTCACCTCTCCAGTCATTCTGTAAATATTTCTTTATGTATGTGTATTGTAGAAGTCGAAGGATGAATCCTGCCTCTGAGTAAACCTGGAGTAGTTCTGTGCCATTATTCCATAAAAGATTTCTCCCTAAATTGGTTTCCAAATTTAGCTAACCTTTGCTTTCTAGATACAGCTGCCCAGAGGTTTGTGTATGTCCTGTTTATAGACACATTGTCCTTTCCTATGATAACTATATTGTTTCCTACATATGGGCCTATTTTCCAGACTAATAATATGACACTGTTAGGCAAAGTAATACCTGAGGCAAGTGGCACCTCTTTTCTAGTGGAAAAAGGCTGATCTTTTCTGTTTTTATGTTAAGAAATCTACTGTTAAATTTTTATGTAGATGGTAAAACATAAGAAGAAAACAGAGGGGTAAACTGGGTGCAAATGGGATATTGCTATAATAGATGACCTTGGGTATAGTTTTTTCAGTTTTTTTTTTTTCCTTCAGGAGTTTTTTGACTTTCACTTGATAGTTTACATCGTAAACCAATGAATGCAGTCTTAGAAGCTACTGCAGATTAATTTTCTACTAAATGTAATTGATAATGCTGTTTTATGTTATTGTCCAGTGTTTAAGTTGCAAAGGAAAAGGCTCTAGCAACCAAATGAACTCAGTGTAGCAACCTGAGTAACACGTGTTTTGAAGTGTGATCAAGGTAGTCATTTGAAAAGGCTGTTTTTGAAGTTACGCAGCTACAATGGTAAAAGTAATTATTTTCTGAAAAAAGGAGAATACAATAACATATTATTTTTTCTTTCTTCCAGATAAAAACTATTTTGAGTGGCTTCATCATCAGAGGTTATTTGGGGAAGTGGACTTTGATGATAAAAACAATTACCTTAGTCTTGGCTGTCGCATCAGGTTTGAGTTTAGGAAAAGAGGGTCCCTTGGTACATGTTGCCTGCTGCTGTGGGAATATTTTTTCCTACCTCTTTCCAAAGTACAGCACAAATGAAGCTAAAAAAAGAGAGGTAAGTTCTTGTAAAAGCATTTCTAGAATGTATTGAGTATCCATGCATTTACACCAATTTGTTTAAAATATGATATTCATTTCTTGGGCAGCACTCAGGCTTGGCTGCTGAGGCCTCTGGCCACATCTTGTGAGCGTTCTGATACGCTTACTTGATGCTTTTCTGTTAGCAAGTCTGTGTGTCCTTGATAGAAACATAGAAGAAACTGGTAACTGTAATGATAGATTCTGTTCTTCGTGTTCAAAGCACATCACAGACTGCAAAAAACCCAAACCCTTACTGTTGTTCTTTTCCAGGTGTTGTCAGCTGCCTCAGCAGCAGGAGTATCTGTAGCCTTTGGTGCCCCAATTGGTGGAGTCCTTTTCAGTCTGGAGGAGGTAAGTCAAGAGATGGCACTGAAGGATAGATATAAAAAAAAATATCTCTTTTAGCATGAATAATCTCTTTAAAGCTGCAGAGACTTTCCTAAGAAGGAAATTATTTTTATTATTTTTGGACCCACATTTCAAAGTCAAGAGTCGTGTTACTGGCAAACTTCCAGAGATAATTTTTCTTTTGTTTGGATGAGTGTCAGCTTTGCATTATTCTCAGTTATATTTTTCTGGAGAAGGGCTGAGTCAGTTAATAATTAGAGTTTATGTACAGATAGAGATACAGCAGTTTTTCACTCTAGAAATGTATTCTTAAAAAAAAAAAAAACGGGCTTTTTTTTTCGGGCTTTAGAAACCTATCTGACAGTTATATGAAACAAGTTGTAAACATTATTTTTCTTAAAGTTTCAGACGCTAAACATAATTTGTTATTAAAAAGGCAAATGTGCTATAAAACTGACCTCCAAGGCAACCAAACTCTCCTCCAAGAAATGTTTTGTATTGAATTATTTTTCATTATTTGTTTTCAAAATACATCGGAACGTTATTTAGATCATTTGCATTTTTAAAGAAAACTAAAAGTCTCTGAACTGAAGAAAGGAAGCAAAATATTATTTAATGTATAATTTTGCTATGTCATTAGGGAATTTTGAGAAATTCCTTTGTTGCCAAAAAAAATTCAATAAAAGCTCAAAAGAAAACTATCTTGAAATTCAAATCAGGCTATGTGGTGTTTGAGTATGAAATTGCATGGTCTGTTTTGAGGATTTTTTTTTGTTTATGTTTTAATCATACTTCATAATAATAACATGTCTGCCAAAAACCTTTCAGTGTAGGTTGAATGGAGGTGAAACAGTATTAGCAGGAAATTTGAGAGAGCAGCTAGTACACAGTCTGGTTCTTACGAATGGTAGAAAGAGATACTTATAAACAGAGAAGCTTTTAAGTGTAAGTTACCGTGCGTTATTTCTTAACAGTCTTAAAGCAGCAGTTGTTTCTGCTTTGGTGTTGACTTTAAAACTGATACAAGTACGAATTGTTGTAGAGCTTTTGAAAAATGCAGTATGAGCTGGAGCGTCAGTCCTCCAGGTGATAGGAATGATACCGATAATGTGCATAAAACAGTCTTTCCAGTGTTTTTAATTGAATCACTAATAATTCTCATGTATTGCCTTTTGCAGGTCAGTTACTATTTCCCACTGAAAACTTTATGGAGATCGTTTTTTGCTGCTTTGGTAGCTGCATTTGTTTTAAGGTCCATCAATCCTTTCGGTAATAGCCGCCTAGTTCTTTTTTATGTGGAATATCACACTCCTTGGTACCTTTTTGAACTGCTTCCTTTTATTCTTCTGGGAGTATTTGGTGGGCTCTGGGGAGCATTTTTCATCCGGGCAAACATCGCATGGTGTCGTCGACGCAAATCTACGAAATTTGGGAAGTATCCTGTCCTGGAGGTTATTATTGTTGCAGCAATAACAGCTGTCATTGCATTTCCTAATCCATATACAAGGCTAAACACCAGTGAGCTTATTAAAGAGCTCTTCACAGACTGTGGGCCGTTAGAATCCTCCTCCCTCTGTGACTACAGAAATGATATGAATGCGAGCAAAATAGTAGATGATATTCCTGACCGTCCAGCAGGCACTGGAGTCTATTCAGCTATATGGCAGTTGTGTTTAGCACTCATATTTAAAATAATCATGACAGTCTTCACCTTTGGTATCAAGGTAAGTGTGAACGCAGTGGCTGCATCATCTGCTGTGATCATTGAATTACTGCCTTTCTCATTTTCCGTCTCTCAAAGCTAGCAACTTTGTGTATATAATTTTTTTTTCTTGTGTAGTTCATTTATAAAAAGATTTTTTTACTGTTGATTAATAAGCAAGTCTTGTAGAAAACAATATTTAGTTTAATTAAATTCAAACTAGCCCTTTGTTCAGCTGAATAGAAACACGTGCTAAATAGAATAGGGAACAGTAACTGTGTGGATGGATGGCTGTTTGTATGGGCCTGATTCGTCAGTAAGGATGATTCTAAAATTTCCGAGAGCTGAGTTCAGCTGAGTTCAAATATAACCACTCGGGTTCCCTAGTCCTGTCACATGGAAGAAGAAAAGATTGTACCTTTTGAACAGCTCGTAGGTTTTTTTTAATCCCCTCTTCTCATTTATCACATAAATGTAATTACTGCAGATTGTCAAAGGGAGACGATGGTCATTTCTTTCCTGAAATTTCCAGTATTGCATGTCATGACTAGAAAGAGGGCTTTGTTCATGTGACCATAGTGGGAATTTCTTCTCCATTACAAAGCAGAATATATTTTTTTTTCTTTCCTGATCACTCTGTAAATCTGTTTTGGAGCTCTCTTCAGCTTCTCTCCAACCTGTAGCTGTTTTCTTAATGATTTACCACCTTAGCTGCTGCCCGTGGGGCAAGGTGATTCCTGCTGCTCTTACTGCCATGAGCAGGGATCACCAGGAAGCTGATATGGCAATGATTTGGGTTTTTTGTTGGTTGGTTTGTTTGTTTTCCTTCAGGTTTTTGTACGTATACTGTACTGCTTATTATCAGTGGACTCATTACTATGTCTAAGTGCTGATGATGAGCAGTTGGGGTGGCATTACAGCTTTGCCTCAGAACCTGACTGGTATGCATCTGCACTACCATACAGTGGAGAGTTGCACCGTATCCTGATTCCTTGCTGCTTTCAAAGATGAGATATGTGCCACAGAATAAATTATTTCCTCTGTAGTATAACTTGAGTTAAGCTGGCATGCACTGGAGAAGGAAGCTGAGACAAGGTAGAACCTAACGTTTTTCCCTTGCCACTTCTCAGTGAAGGTTCCTCTCTACTTTGTGACTCATGATTCAGAGGCTTATGCACACGGATGCAGCTGTAACATCACATTACAGTTAGACTTGTAACCATTATCCACACGTGATGGAAAGAAGAGAAAGAGCTAGATGCATTAAAAAGTTTTGTTAAAAAAGGACCAGAAACAATTTGGATGTAATTTCCATTTGGAGTCTGAATTTGTGTGGCATACTGCTGTAGCAGACTGGAACCTAAGGCAATTTCAAAGATTTATTCAATTACTTTTACATCAGACATGTTATTTTTTCAGGGTGCTATTGAACTGTTCACCAAGAAAGAATTTCACTTCAGAAAAAAAATTGAATTTTCATGGTTATAAAGGGGTTTAGACATAGGAGTAATTGTGGGAAATAACAGTAGTGGTATAAATGCACAATTTGGATATTACACTAAAATGATAGTATTGAATAGTTACATCTAACAACACTGAAATATTAGGTAATTCAGGGTGAGAATGAAAGATTATTAAACTTATTTACCAAAATCTATGCTGCTGGCTTTGAAACAGAAAGTTTGCTATGTTTGTTTGTCCTTGATTTGTCTGTTAGAAATGATCTTTGCAGCCATAAATATTGGTGATATACTACTAATAATGATGATGATGATGCAAATAGATTCTGAAATACAGTTCTGCACTAGCTGTTGAATTCCATGGCAAAATCTATAGTTTGAAATTGCACAATACTTAAATTTCACAGCTGTACAGTGGAAAAAATTAAATTATGTGTCCTGTTACACCCGGAGTGCAACTTTTTAGTGAAGTTACTTTGACGAGTTTAGGTGCCTTTAGACAAAAAGTAAAAATTCTACTACTTATAATGTCAGATCTGTACCTTGGTAACAGTAGAAGATCATAGAATCATAGACTGGTTATGGTTGGAAGGGACCTCGAAGATCATCTAGTTCCAACCCCCCTGCCATGGGCAGGGAAACCCTCCACTACACCAGGTTGCCCAAAGCCTCATCCAACCTGGCCTTGAACACTTCCAGAGATGGGGCATCTACAACTTCTCTGGGCAACCTGTTCCAGTGTCTCACCAACCTCTGAGTGAAGAATTTCTTCCTTCTCTCTAATCTAAATCTCCCCTCTTTCAGTTTAAAGCCATTGCCCCTTGTCCTGTCACTACATGCCCTTGTACATGCCCTCCAGCTTTCCTGTAGGCCCCCTTCAGGTACTGGAAGGCTGCGATAAGATCACCCCGGAGCCTTCTCTTCTCCAGGCTGAACAGCCCCAACTCTCTCAGCCTGTCTTCATAGCAGAGGTGCTCCAGCCCTTGGATCATCTTCATGGCCCTCCTCTGGACTCGTTCCAGCAGCTCCATGTCCTTCTTGTGCTGGGGACTCCAGAGCTGAACACAGTATTCCAGGTGGGGTCTCACCAGAGCAGAGTAGAGGGGCAGAATCACCTCCCTCAACCTACTGGCCACGCTTCTTTTGATACAGCCCAGGATACGGTTGGCTTTCTGGGT